CACACATACAGTCACTCAGCAACATCGCCCTGGTGGGTCAAGCACTCTCTGGAGTATCAGGTGTTTGTGTGTGCGCATGTGATGCGTGCACATCAGGGAGGTTTGCATAACATTTCCAAAAAAACACTGGTGGACGTTGTTACACTGACATGTTAAGGAGGGGTGTCCCCTGATTCTATATCAGTTTGTAGGTTTGAAAAAAAAAAAAAGAGTCCCAGGAGCATTCCCGCCTCCCCACCAGTCCTTTTATGGAGCACTGGCACAGCTTAAAGTGACTCAAACAAATCTCATTAGATTTCACTGCTTCTCTTTAAATCTTTAAACTACACACAGGCATTAAACCTTAATTCAGCATGTAACATTTACCCGTTAGTCACAACTGGCACAAACTTTGGAAAATGTCTCTAATGAAACAGCAATCTGATTGGAATAATTGATCACCTTTCACAATCAAAAGGCTGCTCGATGTCTAACCCCCTTTTCAAATAACACTGGAAAAGAAAACAACATTAAAAAACACAAAGGAAAACATTATACACACACAAAGGCGCGCAAACACGCACACACTTTTGCCTCTTCGCAAACACCCATGCACATACACACTTGCGTTCACCATCTCAGCACGTACCACACACACACACGACACCATCAAAACAGTGTTAACAATGTTACCAAACAAGCAGGTTAAATAAGTCACACCATTCCCATTACTTTACGAACATTTCAAAGTAAATTCAATCCATCATCAAACCTTGTATGTGAACTTTTACTCTTTAAAAACAAACAAACAAACAAAGAGACCCTACGAGCAGGAGTGGTGAGATTTTAGATCATATGACTGATAGAAATAGAATTGTTACCTAAACATGAGTGATAATACAAAGATCCACATTAATCTTCAAATAAGTCAGGTGAACACTATGCAACAACAATAACCCAGAGCTGCAATTATTTTTAGTCACTCATCCTCATTGTGCCTATAATAAGGGACAACATTTGTCTTTGCAGAGCCGCTAGGATGACCTCACAGCCGTGCACGAGAGCAGCGTACTTGGTTCGCTCTACATCGTTTCGTTTTTTTCGTCTTTTTGACACAGACTATTAGCAACACTGGTGTTTACATTTTTTAGGCTATTAATCCTTCATTTTAGACAAGGCTTTATTTACAGCCAGCAATCAGGATGTTTACAAATGTTGCTAGCAGATACCTGTTGTAGCTAATTATTCAAGCTAAACGAATTAGTCTGACTTTAAACTGAGTTGTATAGCTAACTAGATTATAACTAGCATGCATGCTGGTGCTAAAGTAGCATAAATAAACTGAGAAATGCTCTGTTCAGATCTTGCAGGGTATAAATAGCTGGTCCTTCTAAAAAAGGAATAGTTGTTTTAAAAATGCAAAGCTTATCAACTTGTTTTTTTGAGATGCTAACGTATCGTCTTCTGTTAACTTTAAAACAATTGCGAACCTCAAAATCGAACCAAGAGCAGGACAAAGTGATAAGATTACTCTACCCAAAGTAGTGTACCTTATAATTCTATTTTTTGTGTGTTTTTTGTGTTTTTCACCCATTCTTTAAACTTCTTTAAGCTACGTTAACAGCTGGTGAAGAAGTTACAAGCCAGCGACTGTTTACAAAGTTGGCTCTTGACTGACAACTTTTGTTTGCAGTTTTCTTATAGCATTGTTTTCTTCACCTGCTTCCTTCCTCTGAATTATTTACAGCATTCAAGCTGTTTGCCAAAAAAGCATCCACTATCAGTATCCTGCTGTTTTTTCTTTTTTTTACCATATACTCTATTGGTTGCACAATTATGTGCGTACACGTTATGTTGCCAGACCTTTTATAAAGTGTGAAGTAACTTACCCAGGCTGACAAGTGTGCGTGCCACCCACAGCACGTCTGCAACCAGTGCAGGAAAGATCAGTGCACTTGCAAGGACATTCCCATACTTCTTTTGGAAAGGATCCATCATTGTCACATACTTGTTCTCTCTCATTGGCTTGGCAAAGAAAAAGCCACCTGCAGGAGGAGGAAAGGGATTTAGCAACACATCTGATTACCTCCTTGAAAATGTTGTCAAGTTTAGGATACATCATTTACATATATCTTTCATTAACGAGAGAGAAAGGAAGCGATTTAGTGGCCGAGTGAAAGAATGAACGCTTTTGAACAATAGAAAAAAACAAGTTCTCCCCCCAGATAGCATAATAAACACCTTCAGACAAACCCATGGGGCCATAAGGCCAACAATGAGGCATGTTGTATTTCCTGATAAGAGGCTCCAGTTCACATTACTCTCACGATCTGAGGGCTATTGTGAAAGAGGTGCCCGAGTGCCGATGACTGAACATGTCACAAATGTGTATGGATGCCGGATGCCCTGCTGAGTTTGTCAATTTGGTGAATTCACAAGAAGGCAACCCAAGCTTAGGGGTATACTCATCTGTTTGCACCTGTTGCCTCCAGTTAAAATACTAAACTGATTTACTACAGTACTATTTTTAACACGAGCAACACTTTTATTGGTGCAGTCAAACGGGGTCTGCGGGAAAGGGAGTTGCACGGACGGCGGTCAGTAACACTTCTGCTGCAGACAGACACTCATTTTATTAATGCATTTTACACACTGTGGATAACTTAAGGTGATTATGGTTAAAATACTAAACCTATAGCTGCTCACATCTCTATCATATTTCCATAGTTCTCTCATAGATTTCAGTTTAGACTGACTTCCTCTAACAATAGCACCTCTCGTACCCAAAGGTCATTGTACCACAGGACCTTCATTAGCTCCTCCTGGGTGTAAAATGAAGCATACAAATGTTAAACTTTCTTCTTCCAAACACTGGAGGGGGCTAAGCTGTGTTGTTAGGCTCATTAAAGCTGACATCAACTTTTTGTTTCTATTTAAAAGTCCACCCCTGGAATGTGAGGATAACAAGCACCAATCCGACCCGCACAGTTGCATCCAATCAAATGAAGCCTGAACTAAAATCATGTAAAAAATACCTGCATGACCAAACGGACACGCTTCTATTCTAATCGACCCAGAGCATGCTTTGAGTGCTTTGTACTTGCATTGCACACGTCCTGCTGTGGCTCTCTTTGTTCTTGTTTCATAAGTGGGTTCCACTCACCTAAGAAGAAGGTCAGGACATAGGGCACAGGCATCAGTGCCCAAACTGCGCCTAGTGTTGGGTTGTATGTTGCCTCAGCTATACCCAGGATGAAGCCTCCACCAACCCATGTAGCTGCGGACGAAGAAAAACAACTCACTTGTCTTATTCATGTACCACTTTCAAAGATCAAAATTTAGTGCACTATACAAAAGACTCAGTGTATATATATTAGTGTATATATATTCACACCATCTGACTGCCTTACCAGTAAGTGTGAAGATACCAACTAGTAAGTTGATATTGCGTCCAGCCAGTAGAGTTATCTCCATGCCGTCTCCTGTGCATTTTTTCTCCTCCTTTTTGGAACGCAAGGATGCCCAGATGCCCGTGCCCAAGATGAGCAGGTAAAACAGCGCCATCACCACCAGGCCTGGTATATTGAGAGCCATCTTGAACTACTTTTGTGTCCTGTAGAGAGACATCAGAGGCTGGTGAAAAACTGAGTCGCCAACTGCTTCAAAAGGAAACATGCAGATGCTGCTTGCAGGTCTTTTAATTGTAAAATACAAA